AGTTGATAACATATGCTATATCCGGTCTAGTGATTGTTAAATACTGAAGCGATCCAATAATTCGGCGGTAGGTAGACGCGTCCGATAGATGGGAATCTTGCGGAACCGAGCTCTGGACTTTGGTTGAGGATGGATTGGCTACAGGATTACAGGAAAGAAGATTAGATTGAAAAAGAATAGATTCAGCATATGTTCATTGAGATAGAAAATACTTATCTTTGAATGACTGAATCTTAATTCCCAGAAAATGGTGCGCCTGTCCCAGATGTTTGATCGTGAACTTGTGTTGCAGTTTGGTAATGAGTTCCAAAATAGCCTCGGGGCTACTGCCGGTGATCAAAATAACATCCACTTAGACAAGGAGATACATTCTAACGTGATGTTGATCGAAGATCAACAATGACGGATCGGCTTTGCTGTGCTTGAAGCTAATAGTGAGGAGATGATCAGTAAGAGTAGTGTACCACTGCTGCGGTGTCTGTTTAAGGCCGTAGATAGCTTTGCGAAGGAGACAGACATGATTAGGTCGGTTAGTGTCTTCGAAGCCCTTCGGCTGCCTCATGTATACAGTTTCATGGAGTTGCCCATGAAGGAAAGCGTTGGCCACGTCCAGCTGGTGATCATCCCAGCCATGGTGAAGGGCCACCGTGAAAAGTACCCTGATGGTCGGGAGACGAGCTACCGGGCTGTAGGTTTCACCGTAGTCGAGGCCGTATTCTTGACGATTCCCTTGTGCCACTAACCGAGCTTTGAATCTTGTTGTAGAACCATCAAAATGTAGCTTCTTTCGAAAGGTCCATTTACACCCAAGTATGGATGCCTGCGGTGGTCGTGAAACAAGAGTCCACGTCCCCTGTTTTTGTAAAGCCAGGAACTCTTCAGCCATGGCGTTCCTCCATTCACGGTATTGACTTGCCTCTACGAATATGGATGGTTCGGGAGGATTGGGAAGAGACTGGTGATGAAGAAGATTTAGGCGGTTCAGAGGACGTAGAGATCCCGTTTGCAGCCGAGTGATCATGTGATGTTTGACTGGCTGAGGTGGTGATAGGGATGTACGCGTGTTGCTTGTGGGTAAGGACGGTGGACTGTACTCAGTATGGGATGACTGAGGTGGTGATGATAGATGGGGAAAAGAACTTGGTGGCTCACTTGAGTTGATAGCAGCCTTATTTAGGGAAGATGTTGGAACAAGTAGCGATGGTGGGATGCCAAGAGTGATAGACGTTTGCAGAGGTTTAGTTTGTTGAAAGGGAAACAGATCCTCTATGAACTGAACATGCCAAGAGATTGTCATTTGATTTGTGTCAAGGTTCATGCATTTGTAACCTTTGTGGACATCCGAGTAGCCCATGAACACAGAAGGATTTGCTGTTGGTTGCAATTTGTTCCTGTGGTGGCTCGCCGTGAGCGGATAACACGCACATCCGAATACGCAGAGATGCTCATAGACGGGTTGTGTGTTGAACATGAGCTGCAGTGGAGACTTGTGGCCAGTGTTAGAGGATGGCAGCCTCTTAATGAGATAGGCCGCTGTCATGACGGCATCCGGCCAGTAGGAGTGGGGAACTGCAGCTGTGTGAAGAAGTGTACGCATTGTTTCCACGAGATGCCGGTGCTTCCTCTCAGCTACGCCGTTTTGTTTCGGAGTATACGCGCAGGATATTTGATGGTGAATGCCATGAGTAGTTAGAAAATTCTTAAGTTTTTGGTTAAGAAACTCACCGCCCCCATCAGTACGGATCGCCATGATTTTGCGCTGAGTTTGTCGTTCAATATACGTAACAAAATTAATGAAAACATTTGCTACATCAGATTTAAAATGAAGTGGAAAGATCCATGTAAACATGGAAAAATCATCAACAAATGAAATATAATAGCGAAAACCTTGATGCGAGGTGACCGGAGACGGTCCCCAAACATCAGAATGGAGTAATGCTAGTGGATAAAGTTGCCTCGTTACAGAACGTGCAAATGGAAGCTTATGGTTTTTACAGGTAATACAAGAAATGCAATTAAAATTCTGCGAGCTCGTGTGAAACAACTGGTGTGAACTAGCTATATGCTTTAGTGTCTTAAAATTCGGGTGGCCCAGACGGTGATGCCACGTTATTGCCGACGATTTGGATGCAGTAAGTCCTACAGGAGGTCTTCTTGATTCATCACTTGGAATTGGGTACAGACCATTCTTGCACGGCCCGTGAAGAAGCAATTGATTCGTCATCAAATCCTTGAAAGAAAAACCCGATGGATCAAAAGTGACGGAGATGTTATTATCTTTAACCAGATTAGATATAGAGAAGATTGTAAGAAATTGAGGGAATGTGAAGAAGATTGTTAAAGAAAAGCTTACGAGAAAGGGTTGGAAGGAGACTCGTGCCCGATTAAGCAATGGGAATCGACCTTCCATCCCCTACGGTTACTCTGTCCGAGCCTTGATATGCAGCCGCTTGAGATAATTGCGCGGGTTCGTTCGTCATATGAGATGACGCCCCAGAATCAAGAAACCATTCAGGTGAGGGATCGGTTGAAGCAAGAAGAGCATTGCCAGATCTGGGATTGTTAGAAGATGGGTTGTAATTGGTGTTGAGTCTAGGCTAGCAAACATATGCGGTGTGACCCCGTTTCGCACAAATTTGATAGGTGACCGAGGGCTGCGAATTGGAGCGAATGTTGGGGTTAGCGTTCTGAGATGGATGGCTATGGCCTCGTCTTCCCCGGCCTCAGCGCGTGTACAAAGCCGAATTGGAATTCGACGACGGAGGTAGACGAGCGGCGTCCATTTGAACGTGAATTTCCTCACTCATCAGCAGCGCATACAGATTGTCCAGGCTGATCGGATGCAACATTGTTCGGATGGACGTCTTGAACGATTGGTACACCGGAGGTAACCCATTCAAGATGTAGAGAATGACATCCTCCGTGTCTACCGTTGATCCGACCGAGGCTATCTGATCGACGATTTTCTTGATCTCAGTAAGGTATTGAGTCATCGAAAGGTTCTTCATGGAGAAGTTATGTAGCTCATTTTTGAGCTGAATCACCTTCGATCGACTGGAAGATTTAAACCGAGTTTCAAGAACCCGCCAGATCTCGGAGGTATGATCGAGATGGATGATGTAAGGGAGAACCGAGGCTGAGATTGTTGAGCTAATTGCCGCAACGAGATTCGTGTTCGTGACTTGATCAGCAGGCATTAGAGGGCTTGATTCAAGAAAAGCTTCGAATCCATTAGCGTGGAACAACTTCGTAATCTGGCTCCTCCAGATCGGATAGTTTTCCGTGGAAAGTTGATTGGGAACAAACGTTTTGAGATTGGAGACAAGGAATTTGAGAGACGGAGAGATTGCAGAGTGATTCGAAACAGCACCGTTCGTTGCAAGTGAAGGAGACGAAGGAGATGCTTGTTCCGCTTGATCCGCCATTGAGATCCTCTAGGATCGAACGATGTCTGATACCATGTAGAGATTTCAAGAACAAAACTGCAAGAACAGAGAGGAAAGGAAAGAATGGACTAGATGATCCTATAGGATCAGCTAGTGATCTATTTATAGTAAGCAGATGAGTACATGGCAGTATTGTAAAATATGCATAAATTCTAATTACAGTATTATTATATAGTGCTTCTAATAGCACGGAGTCTTCCTGATATAAACAAGGAAAATGACGAATTCAACTAGTAGATGAAACAAATTAAATTCAGACCAACATACTGATGAACTTCAAGATCAACGACACATAAGTTTACAAGGCCATAAGATTTACCTTTAGCAATGTACAAAAGAGTTGGCGTTCGAAGAGTATACATTCGATCATATAGAAATTGTTAAAACCTCAAGAACCTTAGACATTCACAAGACATTCATAAGAGTGTACGGTCGATCATTTAGAAAATTTTATTGAACCCTAGATAGTCGGCATTGAAAGGATTAAGGCTAACATTCGATTAAGATTAAACGCCTTTAGAATATTTGCCTAATGAGGCGATCACGATTGGCGATGTAGCGTTAACTATCGGCGAGAATTAGGAATGATAGATGAAGAGAGAGCACACAGTTAACGGGCATTTGAAGGTGTTCAACAAATTTGAAGAAGATGAAAGAACAAGAAGCAAGCAAGATAACTTATTATAATGATTGATCATGATCTTGCTCAGTTAGTGCCAAAACAATCTCGCTCAGCTAACACCAAATGAGTATATGTCCTATTAAATATTTTTTAAGGCACTTGAATAAAAGTGTCTTAATATATATGTAGCTAAAAGTTATATTTTATAGTGAATAAATAATGCTCCTTAAATTAAAAATTGAGAGAGAGAGAGAGAGAGAGAGAGAGAGAGAGAGAGAGAGATTGTATCCCTTGAAATTAAAGTAAGCTATTTCATCTCCTCTTAACTTAAATCCTAATTGTGCTAATAGTCTCAACCAACGAATTGAACCAATTTGTTATAATGCATATTATAAGAATTAATAATATAAAATTTTAATATTATAAATATATTATTCTTAAATTATATTTATATTTATAAAATTTTATTAAATAATTTTATAAAAATTATTAAATCCTCATATATTTATATTATGTTATGTTAATTTTATTAATTTTTAATAATATTATTATTTATTATATCTTCCCGTTCGACCGATCAAACCGTAAACCTCTCATTTTTCTAGTTCGTTGTTTGGTCCTATTTTTACAACCTTGTATTTACCAAATTAAATCTTGAAATTTACTAATATATATATATATATTTTAAATATCACCAACTAAATTAATTTACACCTACACCAAATCCCCATTTCTCTCAAATTCAGAGAATGACAGCTCCTACTAAATATTTCAAGCATTAGAACCTAACGGTTTCCGACCAAAATAAGAGAGCTCCTCCGCCTCCCCTATTACAAACCCCGCACCACGCCACCATCCCTCCTTCCGCCTTCCCATCAACGCCTCTCCTTCCCCTCCCCGCCTTCTTCCCCAGCCCTCCCTCGCCCCTAGCGATGTTAACGGGCGGCGGCGGGTACTTCCCTTCCCTGCCGCCGTTCCCTTTCAACTTCCACCTCCTCGAAGTCACTCTCATCTCCGCTCAAGACCTCTTCCCCTCGTCCCGTTCCATGCGCACCTACGCCGTCGCTTGGCTCCGCTCCGACCAGCGCCTCCGCACGCGCCTCGACGCCGTTGGCCACACCGAGCCCACCTGGAACGACAAGTTCGTCTTCCGCGTCGACGACTCCACTCTCCGCTCTGACACCTCCGCCATCCACGTTGACATCTACGCCGCCCGCCCACGCTATCGTCCCGGATCCGACACTCTGCTCGGCACTTCTCGCGCTATTCTCAGCACTCTCCGCCCCTCCTCTGCCACCAACTTCGTCGCCCTGCAAATCCGCCGGCCCTCCTCTCTCCGCCCGCAAGGTATTCTCAATATCGGCGTCGCTCTCATTGACGCGTATGTCCGAAGTCTCCCCATTTACGCCGATCTCGGCGCATCTGCTTTCGCCTACCATGATCTTATCGCGAGGCCTGCGAAAAAGGTCAAAGCTTTGATCTTGCCACCGGAGCAGAGGGAGGCCGGGCTGGATAAGAGCGGGTCGGGGGGCGGGGTGGGGGAAAAGGAGCGGGTGGCATTGGAGAAGAAGTTGAAGAAGTGGAGGTCGGAAATTCCGGCGATGGAGGTTAAGGAGGCGGAGGTAAAGGAGGACGAAGGGAGTTCGAGGGGGAAGCCGAGGAGGCCACGGACATTGTCGTGCTTCAGTATTGCAAGGCAACTCGCAGATGACATCGCCGAGAACGACGCTAGCAGCCGGAGTAGCAGTAGCCGCCGCCGTTGAGACTGGAGGGCTGGATTCTGGATGGAAATCAATCACTTCTTAGTGATTTGTCTGATATGTTGCAGATCAAATGGTGGTCGTCTCAGAAATTCTATAAATAATTCTTCATTTCTTATAGAGATTTGCGCCTTTATCATGTCATGATGTATGCTTGAGATCAAAATTATATTTTTTTAACAGCATGATTTGTTGTGATTTATTACTTAGTTTTTTGGTATGAAATTATTTTTGTTTGTGGTTTTTATTATACTTTTTATCATAAAGTATTATTAAAAATAGTAGACTCAGTATATAAAAATAAGGTTGTCACCCTCTAGGGCTAGGTTTCATTTCATACCATCCTACAACATTATCATCTTGGATCGCTCGTATCTTTCGCCAAATCTAAGTCTTCATAAAAATAACCATCAAGCTTGCCAACAAGAAATAACATGTGACCTACTTCGAGCAAACTTGGTCACAAAATAGGAGAGTCACCTTCTAGAGCTAAATTTTTAGCAACATGTACTCTTGCGGGTGATTTATAAGATCTTCCAAGAAGAAGGGCGAGCGAGTATAAGGACTGCTGGATTACTCTTAATCATTCAGAGTCTACATTAACATAGTGAGAGAATGATCTATGTTCTTAGAATTCATAGAATTATTTTTTACTTAAGATGTAGGATCCAAATTTATTTCCAAGGGAAATCTTAACCCTATTTAGGAGACTAACTAGAATGACAAAGCAAGATAAAGGAGAGATGTAAAGTAAGGAGAAAAGGTTTTAAAATTTTCTTACTCTTTATGCATAGTGAAAGTTATAAGAATTCATAAAGATGCCTTCTGAGTTTTGACCATTTATTTATAAGGTTGGAAATAGTACAAAAGATGATACACCTAAAGAATAATCCAATAAATACATCATTAGTTAGATTGATACAGACACGTGGATAAGATTATGGTTAACATGTTGACAATCATATCCGTTATAGCCCTAGGGCACTACCAGTGAATCCCAAGGATGCGTGCCTTGAGAGAGTGCGTATGGAGAGTAACCTCTTAGGGAAGTGTGTTAGCTATACATGGTAGTTGTTGTTATAGAGCCGGAATAGATCAGCAACTCTTGCTAATGGGGCGAGTGGTCATTGAAACAAAGGTTTGCATTCTTTATTAGAAGAGTTCTTCTGAGATGATCTTCTTGGTGGAATGATTTTTTCTGATACGAGCACTTCTTAAGTGGGACAAATATTCCAAACAAGTTACTCATGACCAAGGCAAGTGCCCTCTTATAACAACCCAAACGATCTCACCATCGTCCCGGCCGATCCTGGGGAAAAATCACTTTCCCAGCAGCTACAGTAAAGGAACGAGGTCTCACACCACTTCACTCTTTAACCATGCTCCTCTGAGCTAATTACCTCCCATTATCAAGCCCCTTAGAGGCGAGTAGGGGCGGAACCCCCGTGTGACCCTGTAGGGTTAAAAAAAAGTTTTAGGAGGAGGTCTTTTTGCCCTTCCTAATTAACATATTGTTTTAAAATGATGCACATTTGTGATGTATTACTGCTAATGTTGATGTGATTTATTTTAATGATGTTGATATTTTAGGTTATTTAGAGATTTAAAATTTATTTAAATAAAGAAAAGATATAAATATTTAATATATAAAATTTATATAAGCATGGGCCGGCATACAATTTGAAAACTCGCTAGAATGAGCGCGGACCTGAACCGCCAAGTCCTTTGGCTATTAGAGAAATGCTCTCGCCTCCCGCAACTCAAGCAGCTCCAGGCCTTCCTCACAACGCTCGGTCATAGCCAGACCCAGTTCTTCTCCTTCAAGCTCGTCCGTTTCTGCACCATGGAACTTGCCGACCTCTCCTACTCTCGCCTTCTCTTCGACAACCTTGGTAGTTTGATCGAAGCGGGTTTTGTTTTTGGAACATTGTTCGAACCAAGCTTGACGGCATGGAATTCTATGATTAACTGCCTTGCACTTCATGGGCATAGTGAGCGTGCCATTGCAGTCTTCAATGATATGGAAAATCAGGGATCCAGACCTGATGAGATTACTTTTGTCGGGCTTCTGAATGCTTGTACTCACGCCGGATTGGTCGATGAAGGGATGAGTTATTTCAACTCCATGAGAAGAACTTATGGGATTGAGCTGAAGATCGAACATTATGGATGTGCGGTAGATCTTCTTTGTCGAGCTGGGAGATTTGAAGAGGCAATGGGAGTAGTAAAGGACATGAAGATTGAACCTGATGAGGTTATTTGGGGTTCTTTTCTGAATGGTTGCAAGGTTCATGGAAATTTCAGTTTGGCAGAGTTTTCAGTTAAAAAGCTTATTGAGATTGATCCAAGCAATGTTGGTTATGGTGTGATGTTAGCAAACTTGTACAGCAAACATGGAAAGTGGGAAGAGGTGGGACATGTTAGGAAGATGTTGAAAGATGGTGGAGGGAAGAAGTTACCAGGCTGCAGTTGGATTGAGGTGGATAACAGGGTTCACCAATTTTACTCAGGTGATAAATTTCATCCAGAAGCTGATGTGATTTGTGGACTATTAGAAGAGTTAGCTGGGCTGTTAGAACCTTAACAAGAACTATTTTAGCTGGTTTTTACATTTCTGAGTTGATTCTGACTCTGCAAGCTGAGTTTTTCCTGATTGGTGATCTCGGTGAAAGATTAAATTCATTCAAAATATGGAGCTCATCTGTTGATAGATCTGAATAGTTCTGTTTAACCACTGATTTTGCTGGATTAGAAGAACTGAAAGCAGTATTCTGCAGAACAAAAGAACCATTACCAGCATTTTCTTTTTCCTTTTGAGGTTTACAAGGCATAATATGGGGTAAACTAATTTACTTTCTTACGTCATTGTACACATGATTCATCATTGAGAGCACACCTGCACCAAAAGAATAATTAAGCTTGCAGCAATATGAGCAGCTTATACTATAGTCTAACCAACAAGAAGAGCTTTTCTTTTGTTGAATCTGTAAAAAAAATTATTTGATGATTAAGATACAAGATCTGAAGAAAAAGGCTTCATAATCATCAGCTTTACACAATACAAATTTTAGTTGATTCGACTAGCTAGATATTATATTAATCTCAAAACAAATCTAACTCGAAAGTTCTTCACTCGAAGTAGGTTGTTTTCATTTACAATGTATATGTCTTATTCTTTCGCTTGTTTATTAGTAGAATGATGTCAAACTTTTTGCTCCAATGCATTTTCAGTTATGAGGAGATTTAGATGGTTGCTATGCTGAATACAAGCTGTTATAAATCGATTTTTTGTACAGAGATTTGACTAATTATAACAGAATGTTTTGTTGCCCTTCAGTGTTTTTGTTGAAGTTATAACAGAAATCATTATGGCAGGCATTTCACAGTTACAGCAGTGTTGGGTTGTAGATTATTCACCTGAAGCAGCTGCTTGTAATCTCGGCCTTGACACTCTTGGATAATTGTGTTCTCGTTTAAAACCTAGATGATAGGGCTAAAGGCTTGTTTGGGATGACTTTCTTACTGCTTCTTAAAGTAGCTTTTTAAAACTTCTTTAGTAGCAGTAAAAAAGCCATCCCAAACGAAGCTTAAGTTAACATCCATCAAAATTTTGTTAAAGTTTTCTTCTTTCTTGAAGAGTAAGGATCTTTGTATAGTAACACTGTAAGCGAAGTGTATTGGTTGCTTAACCTTTGGTCTACCATTTAGAATGTTCTGACATGACAACAGAAACTTCTCGATATAGGTTCCCTTTTAGAAGATCATCTATTCCCACCTCAACAGTTTGGAAGCGTGGAATGGTTGGCTGATTTTATGGTTTCTCTCGGCCTTTTTTTGCAAGCAGCGGAGGTACGGCTTTGCATCTTATGTTAGAAATTTTAAAAATTATAAATGTTAGTGTTGCGTCCTGGAATATTCGTGGCGGTAGAGAAATATATAGTTTAACGTCTTAGCATTGTATTAAGATCCAGCACACAATCAGATAAGTGAGAGGGTGTAGCATTCATAAGAGACACCAGAGTTTTTACGTGGAAAACCCCTAAAAATGAGAAAAACCACAGGGCCTGGCCCAGTTTGAATGAATCCACTAGTATTTGCAGTCGATTACAAATGAGGCCCTTCTTAGGGAGAAGGCCTTGGCTTGATGGTACAAATGTACATCACATAGAGCGCATTACATGATGGGAGTTACAATAATCAGCAAAGACATGCTTGTTTGGCCAGTAGGACCATAGTTGATAAGATAGATGTCGGAAAGACCGTAGTTGTCAGGAGACCAGGGTCAGAAAGACCGTTATCTAGTGATGGAGGTCGAAAGGATCGTATTTGGCAGGAGACCAGGGTTAGAGAGACCGTTGTCTGGTGATGGAGGTCGGAAGGACCATAGCAGGTGATGCAGGTCAGGAGGATCATACTTGGCAGGATACAGGGGTCTGAAAGATCGCAGTTGGCAAGAGACCAGGATCAGAAAGATCGTTGTCTAGCGATGTAGGTCAGAAAGACCGTAGTATTCTGGGAGAACTCTAGGCATCAAGTGGTGGCCTGGTGGAGCTCAAGGCCTCCAGTGACGGCTTGGCAGATGTCCGAGCCTTATGTGGTGGCCTGGTGGAGCACAGGGTCTTAGGTGGTGGCCTGGTGGAGCACAGGGTCTTAGGTGGTGGCCTGGTGGAGCACAGGGCCTTAAGTGGTGATCCGGAAGAAGTCCGAGCCTCAGGTGATGGTCCGGCGAAGGTCTCCGGTAGAGCAACGACGTTAGGCGGTGGTTCGGCGGAAGTGAGGGCCTCAAGTGGTGGTTTGACGGAGCAATGACGTCAGGCGGTGGTCCGGCGGAGGTGAGGGCATCAAGTGCTGGTTCGGCGAGCTGAGTTATTTCAACTCCATGAGAAGAACTTATGGGATTGAGCTGAAGATCGAACATTATGGATGTGTGGTAGATCTTCTTTGTCGTGCTGGGAGATTTGAAGAGGCAATGGGAGTAGTAAAGGACATGAAAATTGAACCTGATGAGGTTATTTGGGGTTCTTTTCTGAATGGTTGCAAGGTTCATGGAAATTTCAGTTTGGCAGAGTTTTCAGTTAAAAAACTTATTGAGATTGATCCAAGCAATGTTGGTTATGGTGTGATGTTAGCAAACTTGTACAGCAAACATGGAAAGTGGGAAGAGGTGGGACAGGTTAGGAAGATGTTGAAAGATGGTGGAGGGAAGAAGTTACCAGGCTGCAGTTGGATTGAGGTGGATAACAGGGTTCACCAATTTTACTCAGGTGATAAATTTCATCCAGAAGCTGATGTGATTTGTGGACTATTAGAAGAATTAGCTGGGCTGTTAGAACCTTAACAAGAACTATTTTAGCTGGTTTTTACATTTCTGAGTTGATTCTGGCTCTGCAAGCTGAGTTTTTCCTGATTGGTGATCTCAGTGAAAGATTAAATTCATTCAAAATATGAAGCTCATCTGTTGATAGATCTGAATAGAATTGTTTAACCACTGATTTTGCTGGATTAGAAGAACAGAAAGCTGTACTCTGCCCAACAAAAGAACCATTACCAGCATATTCTTTTCTCCTTTTGAGATTTACAAGGCGCTGTATGGGGTAAAATAATTTACTTTCAAACGTCATTGTGTCACATGATTCATCATTGAGAGCACACCTGCACCAAAACAATAATTAAGCTAGCAATATGAGCAGCTTATACTAAAGTCTAATCAACAAGAAGAGCATTTCTTTTGTTGAATCTGTAAAAAAAATTATTTGATGATTAAGATGGTGCTTACAAGATCTGAAGAAAAAGGCTTTTGAAGAACTTTATAATCATTAGCTTTACACAATACAAATTTTTAGTCGATTCGACTAGCCATATATTATATTAATCTCAAAACAAATCTAACTCGAAAGTTCTTCACTCCAAATAGGTTGTTTACATTTACAATGTTCATGTCTTATTCTTTCGCTTGTTTATGAATAGAATGGTGTCAAACTTTTTGCTCCAATGCAGTTTCAGTTATGAGGAAATTTTGATGGTTTATCAATCGATTTTTCTGTGCAGATATTTGACTAACTATAACAGTATATTTTTTTGCCCTTCAGTGCTTTTGTTGAAGTTATAACAGATCATTATGGCAGGCATTTCACAGTTACAGCAGCGTTGGGTTGTAGATTATTCACCTGAAGCAGCTGCCTGTAATCTCGGCCTTGACACTCTTGCATAATTGAGTTCTCGTTTAAAACGTAGATGATTGGGCTAAAGGCTTGTTTGGGGTGGCTTTTTTACTGCTTCTTAAAACAGTTTTTTAGTGCAAAAATTAAAATTTATGTATTAAAAAACTGCTTTAAGAAGCAATAAGATTGTCCCAAACAAAGCTTAAGTTAACATCCATCAAAATTTTGTTCAAATGTTCTTCTTTCTTGAAGACTAAGGATCTTTGTATAGTAACACTGCAACCGAGCTGTATTGGTTGCTTAACCTTTGGTCTACCATTTAGAATGTTATGACATGACAGCAGAAACTTCTCAATATAGGTTCCCTTTTAGAAGATCATCGACGATTCCCACTTCAACAGTTTGGAAGCGTAGAATGTTTGGCTGATTTAATGGTTCCTCTCGGCCTTTTTCTGCAAGCAGCGGAGGTACGGCTTTGCATTTTATGATAGAAATTTTAAAAACTATAAATGTTGGATTTAAATTTATTCATTGAAGATATCTGACTTTACTACTAGGTGAGCTCTAGAGATGTAACCTGATAATTTATGAATTTATGTGAGGATGGAGAGAAAGATTGGGAAAAACTCTATAGAAAATAACCTGCTAGCTCAAGAAGTTGAAATAAAAATGGCAAAAGATTCAAAATGTTCCTTTTCACTACTCTTTATTTATGGCATTTGAGGGTTACATGAAAGGTTATATCAATAAATAAATGAATAAACATAAATTAATTAATCTTACTACCAATTAAATTGCCTTAGACATGTATGATACTTTGGCTAACTTGATGGGTGATTTCCTTTCGTAATCTTGCTTTTCGGTCTCGTGACGAGTTTCGTAGTGTTGACTGTTGAGTGCATAAAGGCTAGTAGGTGTAGGTGAATCTGCTGGCGAGTGCTGAGCCGAGATGGCGTAACTGACTAATGTTTTGAAGTCATCAACGACCTATGCTGGAGCTATGGATTGCCTAAAGAGTGGGAGACGAGTGAGTTTGAGTTGTGGGTATGGTGAGCTTTGGGGTCAACCGATCGTAATGAGACGAACTGGAAACCTCTTTTGAATAGATACTTTCTTGTAACTAGGATAATGGCCATAGTTGATGACGCTACATCATAAATAGTGACAAGTGGCTTTGGTGGCTAGTCTTTGTTGGAGGGCTTGTGGTGCATTGAGTAGTTTGTGTAGTTATTGAATGTCTCTTGGAGGTGCAACTTCTCTCCTGATGCCCCGTTAGGGGTGTTAGTGAACAGAGTAGGCTCGCGAGCGGGCTTGAGCTCGATTAGTTAAAAAGCTCGTGAGCCGAGCTTGTCGAGCCAGGAGCTCGAGTTCAAGTTCAAACTCGAGTTTGATGCTGCTTGACTCGTGAGCTCGCGAGCTAGCTCGTTAGTAATTAATTATCTAATACAATATTAATATATTGAGTAATATATATCTGGTGGGAGGTGGGACGCGAACCAAAGACGAACGTGGGCGGGAATTTCTAAAGACGGAACGATGGGTCGCTGGAACTTCGAATGGCTGGTCTAGAATGACCGAACTGCGGGCGCATGCGAGAATTTTGAACGAACTGTGGAACAACAGAACAATGGACGTTAGCTCGCGTGCAGAATTGAGCTGTTCGACGAGCCGACTTGCAGTTCGATGAGTCAAGCTCGAGCTTGCCTTTTAAGCTTGACTCGAGCTCGATCCAATATTCTGACCGACGAGTCGAGCTTGATAAGGCCACTACTCGACTCGTTTACACCCCTATGTCCCATCAAGTTGGGTCTCGGCGGTATGGGTCTAAGAGGTATAAGTTCACCTTCTATGACACAGCAACTACCTGTTGGATTTCTACATAATTATAAAATAGATGATCTTTATCAAGCATGACAAAGAAATTCATAAGACATCTTCAATGCAATGCATTTAATATCAACTACTTAACAAAAACAATCATAATCCACATGACGATTGGTAATTAATCAGCATCACCAAGGAATTCAACCTCAACAGTTGGTTTGGTTTGGA